AAGATGATCTGTGGTGGTCTAACAGGAAGAAAAGATAAATTCTGGCTTGGAAATGTTTAATATGAGGATCGTGTGAGTCAAAGACCACTGGGAGACAGGCTAGTGGAAAGAAGTGGAACAAGGAAGGTTTGCAGCCAGCTGTGGAGCCTTGAGGGTCGCCAACACAGGGAACGTGGTTGGCGAGGCACATGGAAATAGATACAGCTCACTCAAAGATTGCTGTAAGCTGCAGAGGACCTGTCTAGTCTCAACAGAAGTGTGGGGTGGGCCCACACTGGTGGAATTAGCTCGCCTGATGTAATATTAGGGAAGGGGATCTTTTTTATCTGTATCCCTCCATTTGGGGTAACAATTTAGTTGCGTTATTGTGCTATCTCCGTACAAATGCCATACTTTGATAATGAGTTGGTTGATGGGGTTTTTTTTGTTGTTATTGTTGTTTTAATTTTCTGAACTCAGAGTTTTACAAAAAGTCAACAAATTCTACTCTGCTTGGCGTCCAGGGTGCAGGGTGCCACTTCTTCTGACCTCAGCCCATTGCTCCTGGCTCCCCAGTCTCTCAACTCTGGAGGTGTCTTTTCTCCAAAAGGTTGTCTTCTTTGGCTAGACTCACGGCCCAGGAGGCAGTGAGTAGTCGCACAGCGTTGAACCCTTGCTACAGCCACAACGCTCTAAGTTTCATTGGCAACCTTGATCTCTCCTGACCTTCAGATTCGTCTGTGAAGAGCTCTGACCTCCCTGTTGAGATGTCTCACTAACATTTCAAAATCAGTGTGTCCAAACCCTGATCTGCCCCTCTCTCACCGTCTCCTGGCCCAGTGACTCTGCCTTGTTCTCCTTTCTCAGGCTGGGAGCCGTGGGGTCCTTTTGGACGCTTGTCTTTCACTTTATGTCAGAATTATCAGATCCCATTTGAAATACAGGTTGGCTACTGAATAAACCGGTTATTGACGCTACTCTCCAGTAGATGTTACAATCATGTTACCAGGCTGGCCTTGAACGGAGACAGAAATCTGCCTGCCTCTGCCTCCAGAGTGCTAGGATTAAAGGCTACCACACCTGGCCTTTGTTGTTGTTGTTGTTGTTGTTATTGCTTTCTTTTAGGAGTGTGGGGGGGCAAGGGCATTAGCTCATATTGTAACCCAGGCTGGCCTAGAACTTACAATTGACCTTAACCTCATGGCAATCCTTCTCCTTGGGCTTCTGAATAGTGGAATTACAGACACACATGGTGGTTGTTAAACGTGATGATCACCCTCTGGATGCAGAGTCCAGCCGTTCCCAGATATCTCTGCTTCACTAAGCTGCCATCGCTCCCACCTGAACTGCTACAGTAACATCCTGCACAATGTCCAGCTTCTCTTCTTGGTCCCTTACAGCGGTGGTTCTCAACCTGTGGGCCATGACATCTTCAGCAAACCTCCATCTCCAAAAATGTTTACATTATAATTCATAACAGTAACAAAATTACAATTATGGATAGCAATTAAAATAATTTTATAGTTAGGGGTCACCACAACGCAAGGAACTGTATTAAAGGTTCACAACATTAGGAAAGTTGCGAACCACTGCCTTATGGTATAGTGTTTGTTGTATGAACCTTTCCTGGAAAACATAAATATCTACTAGCCCACATGGGGACCAACAACAGACCAAAGTAACTCTCCTGCCCAGGAGGAGCTTAGTGAATCAGTGAGTTAATTTGGTTTACTTAGAGCAGGGATTCTCAACCCTCCTAATGCTGTGACCCTTTAATACAGTTCCTCATGTTGCAGTAATCCCCAGCCATAAAATTATTTTGTTGCTGCTTCATAACTGTAATTTTGCTACTGTTATGAATCATAATGTAAATATCTGTGTTTTTTGATGGCCTTAGGCGACCCCTGTGAAAGGGTTATTTGACCCTCCCAAAGGGTCACGATCCACAGGTTGAGAACCGCTGACTTATAGACCCATGAGTGAGGGGTTACTGACAGGAACATGATCACCCACCTCAACCCCTCCACCCCGCCCCCCAAAACAGTCGCATCACCGTGATTTCCCCATAGCTGCATGGATGGAGTTCCCCTTGATTAACCTCTCGTCTTCTGAGACCACGTGCAGCTGAGGCAGGGTTACACACAGCTCAGGGGAAGGGTACCAGAAGGAATGACGGAATCCCAGTCTGAGGGTCCATCCCTGCCTCTTATTAATGCTATGGAGAAACACCAGTAAGCCAGATTTTGAGAGTTTCTCGCAGCTGCTGTGTTCAAGATGGTAATGGCCATGAGGCTCACAAGACAGTGTTCACAGGACAGTCAGGAGACTCCTTGAAAGATTTCAAACCCAAGGCAGCTCACAACACTCTCAGTTCAGATTCTCCCACTGGCTCCCATTGCCACAGCTAGCCAGACTCCACCGCCTGGCAGTCTGCCCTCTTTGACCTCTGTACACACTTCTCTGGCTCACTCACTGTGGCAGTTTCGTTCTCATCCTAAGGTTCTGTAGCTGTGAGTCCTTACTACCCCAGGTCTCCATCCGGCTGACTTCCTCTATCTGTGGTATTGTTTCTCCCTTGACCAGAAGGAAGTGCCCAACAAGGCAGAGGCTGTAGCATGCTCACCAGTACCTTCCTAGCCCGATCCTAGAGCCATGTATGGAGAATATCGAAACTCTACAAACTGACTGAACGTCTAAATGTACTCTGTGGAATCAGAAGTAGACATTTTACTCAAAAAATGAAATGAAGCCCAATAGCGCATAAACTCTGTTATGAAAGATGACCCTTCCAAAGGAGTCGCTGGATTTTTTTTTTCTTGTTTTGAGCAAGTGTGGTTTTTAAGGAAATTCTCTATTGAGGATAAGTGGGACTTCACACAATCCTGACTCCTCCCGGGGACTTGCTGTTTTCCTGAGTATCTCCTGATGGCGAAAGTTGAAATGCAGATGTGCTCACATCAGGGTCTTTATCCCTAAGCTGTGACTTTGTCCTCCATCAGTCACGGAGCTGTCTTGAAGTAAACCACCGCTGTGGCTTCGTCCCCAACCCGTGTGCTATCATGTCTGCCCGTCAGCCAGTAGATGCTAGCAAAATTAATTCTCTTTGAGGTTCTTCAGCTCTGTGCTCTGCCCTTTACTTGGAAGGGAAGGGATTCTGTGCCCCGGGGAACAGGACCCTGTGGGGAAGTAGCTTCCACGTTAAGGCGCACACTGAAAGTACCCTCAGGGAACGGTTCTGGATAGAACCATTCGCCATTTTCCCTTTCCCGCCCACGCCCCAGCTGTGCACACGTGGTTAACCATCACAAGCGGCTGACCTGGTAACCACTGCTGAGAAGGATGCTGGCCAGAGGCTCTTGGAGATCAGAAACTTGGCAGTGAAGCTGTTAAATGTAATGATGGGACCCAAGAAGGTCATTAGATCACAGAGGCGGGGCCCTGAAGTCTTAAAGTCAGAGACGTGTTACCTTTAGAATTCTTTGTAATGTGAAAATAGCAGGGATCCCGTTCACAATCAGCTCAGTTTTAAGAAACTTGTGCAGGCTTCCATTAATAAGAAAAGGGCTGGAGAGATGGCCCAGTAGAGAGGGCCATACACTGCTCTTGTAGAGAACCAAGTCTGGCAGCTCACTGTGGCCTCATTACCTGAGTTTCAGGAGCCCCAGCATTCTAATGATCTCCATGAGCACTGCATTCACATGCACGTGCCCACACACATATGCACATACCTACACACATATGCACATAATTAACACTAAAATAAAAAAAATAAATCCCATTACTAAAGAGTCGGGGACAACAAATTACTAATTCTAGTTCATGTGATGAATGTTTACTGAGCACCTACTATGACCAAGGTAGCTTGCTTGCCACGTCTATACCAGGCTTCTTCTTTCCTATTTCAATTAGAATGCTTAAGTAAACAGCTGTGGTGTGTGTACATATCTATAACCCCAGCACTTGAGCAGGCTGGACCCAGGTCTTGAGGCTTTGGCAAGAAGTTGGAGAGTTCTAGGTATAGCCTGGCTACATTACATAACAAAACCTGTCTCAAAAAAAAGATTATAATTAGAAAGGGGGTTTTAAAAAGTAAATCTTCAGCAAAATCCATCCTTTAAAGAAGCAATGAGACACCACCTCAGAAGGCAGGAATGAAAAACAAGTTAAAATTTTAGAACTTCAAATTGAGTCAAATAGAGGAAACGATCCAAGGATTAATGCCAGCAAAATCCCAATATTTCTCTCTTCACCTTGGGTCCAGCCTCCAAACTCTTAACGGTGTTGCTCACCCCGTTGACATATGTCTCACTTTTATGCAGAAATACAAGAACACAGAGAAAGGAAGAAGCCTGCCCAGGCTGCAGGTGGTGTGGGGGGAAGGGCAGGTTAGAACTGCAAAGGTAAGAGCTAAGGAAGCTGAGAGAGAAGAATCTGAAACTGCTTTGGCTCCACCTTGCTCAATGTGAAGTCCCATGGGTCTAAGGAAAGACCCTTGTCAATGACAGTGGCAAGCTCTGGCTTAGAGCTTCTAACTCACAGGCTGGTTAACTCAGTTGGTTAGTGAATGTTGCTAACTCCCTCCCCCTTTCTTTATTCTTTCTTGGGTCAAGATTTTTATCACAAGCTAAGAGTTATGTGACAGACTATATATTTAGCAAGCGATTTCTCTGAGGTTTTAGCATTGCCACTGACCAGGGTGACTTTAACTTTTTCCCAGTGGCCTTTGTGTTTCTCTGGATCGAGGGATGTCAAACTAGGGCTTTCTGTGAACCAAGCAGCAGCCTGCTAAGGGGCCATATCCAGGATGAGAAGTTTTCGTATGTGAATATGAGCCTTGGGGGCAGACGGGTATTGTTAAAACCGAAACATAAGAGGAGCAGGCGTGTTTCGGTGAACCACTTGCATTTTGGTACGACTCTAGCAGCAAGAAAACAAAACCACATAATCTAAGGCTCACGCCCAACTCTGTGCAGCTGGGTGTCTGCTAGTTCCTGTGTGGTTTGCCTGCAGACTGACTGGGGGTAGCTTGGAGGGAGAGCAAGAGGTCGGGAGGAGGAAGCTGTACTGATGGATCTGGGGCTTGCACCCTGCTTCAGTGTGGTGCTCAGGAGCCAGCCCGAGGCAAACCTGTACCCTGAGGTGCAGTAATCCTGACATTTGACTGCATCTCCCCACTGGCACAAGGCGATTCTAATAACTCGTTGTCAAAGCCAAGAAGATATACACCCAACCTCTTCGCTTCCAAAAGGTATGTCCTGCAGCACGTGTGCACACCCTCTTTCTTGAACGCTTTTAAGGTTCTGTTCTCTATGAGCCAAAGGAATCAAGGGAGAGCTGGTCTCACTGGTTTTCTAAACTTTGCTGTTAATACTTCAGCCGGTAAGCCCAGGTCTCGTCCAGGTGGCTATGTTGCTAGTGATAGGATTCAGCTTCTGGCAAATGAACTAGAGAAGACTCAATCTTTACTCGGCTTGTAGCAATTATAAACAAGTCTGGAAAAAACTTTGGATGTTGGAGTCACAGAAGTAAACTTGCCCTCCAATGGTAAAGGGTCAGCGTTTAATCCAAATTGACGCGTGGGAGGTGGCAGAGGAGTGAGCATCAGTGGCTGGAGACCAGAGTCGGAGGTCATAAGCTGCCTCTTGGTCAGTTACTCCACCAGTTCCAGTTCCAACCGCTAGTTCTGGTGGCATTCGCTTTCTTTATGAAGAACACTGGTTTGGATCCTTTAATGAAAGAAAACTTCCCGTGGGAAGATATAAGGACAGGGTGTTGTCTATCTTTGTCTCTTTATTAATAGTTTTGTGGCATCTTTAAGGCCATCTCTAGTTTCTGCTGCTGTTCCCATCTGTTCCAGAATGTGAGGAAGGGATGCAAAGACCAGGTTTTCACTAACCTAAAAAAATGACCGCATCTACTTACTTCAAATGTGGCCTCGTTAATAAAGCATATGTAACAATTTGCATATCATAGTCAAATTAAAGGGGCTGCTGAGGCTCTAAAACACATAGGGATAAAGCAATCATGATCCCACAGTGTCAGAAGGTAGGAAACATCAATGGAAGAGTCTCACATCTAGGTACACTTATTATAGACTGCTGGTTCTCTAGTGCGTCCCTTTGCTTTATTTTTCTCTTCGTGTTTGATTTCAGAAAGAGAATTTAGTTTAATACGGTCTCCTTCAGTGCCTCAACATGGCCTGCAAAGCTTGATATTCGCGGGATACTCTTAGAGAGGCCTCTTAGACGGAGCAGTCACTATGAAATTGCATCTTTTCCATGCCAAGCTTTTACACTTCTGACTTGAGGCATTTTTGAGAATTTTTGTTATGGTTTTCTGTAAAAAGGAGGCAGCCCCCACATCACTGAAGAAAGCCACCCTATGAGACTCAACTCGGACAGTCTCCCACACAGTAAGCTGTAATCTTATTCTCCCTAGATTGTAATAGCTTTCGTCTTTATAAATGACTTTACTGAAGCCGAGCGGAAGGAGGTGATTGATCTACTCAATATGAAGAAGTGTTCTTGGGTGCTAACAATAGCTTCCCTGTCTGAGACCTTCGGTTGTTTTATATCTACCACATAGGGGCACCATAAAAATAAAAGAGTTAGCGTAAATACCATGTACCTCAGGGAAAGACACTATGAAAATGCATAATGGGAGCATTATTATTTCTCTAAATCTTGGTCACTTTTCTTCCTCTCTCTTGTACAAAATGCATCTCTCTTGCTGCCCAGAGCATCTCTTTTGAAACCATTGGCTTCTGGAAAAGCTGCTGGTGATCCTGTTTTCCATGTATTTATTGATTCCCAAAGAGTAACACCCGCTGGCGCTGGGAGCTTAAAGGGCTCATGCCTGAACTTGAGCCAAACTCGCTCCTTTTCCTGGCTCTAGAAACAAATATGTCATTAAGTGTGATCCCATTGGGGTTTCTTAACTAAGTCACAGTTGCTGCTGGGTCCATTCAAGGGACAGAATCTTCAAGCTCCCATGAAGCAAGCTCAAACTTTGTTGAAGGGAGGCTCAGCAAGCAAAGGTGTTTGTTTGCCACCAAATCTAACAGTCTAAGTTCAGACACCCATGGCGGAAGAAGAGAGCCCGTTCCACAAACTGTCTTCCAACGCTACACTCATGCCATGGCACGTGGTGCAAGTGTAAAGAATGGAATAAGATAATAATAAACAGATATTTTTAAAGTTCAAGAGGAGTCGCTTAGTGTAGCTATTTGAATCAAAAGGTAAAATAGTCTAGCCCCATTTTGTATCACTAAAATCTTTGCTCCTCATATCTCCTTATATAGAGGCGTCTCAATCTCATGTGTCTCTGTTTTTTTATTATTGTATTTTTATACTGTTTGAGAATTTTCAGGAAATCACAGCTTCATTTAGCAAACATTTCGCTAGCATTTACTGAGCAATTGTTTTGTGTCAGTACTGGTACTGCACTCTGGTGCCAAGATATCTAAAAAGTTCACATTGGGTTTCAATACTCTTGAGCCAATAAGGATTCAGTAAACAATTTTTAAAAGTAGTTTTCTTTTTTGAGTATATAAACATAGTCCAAAGTTTTAGAGAATTTAGTGAAACCGCAACAACATACATGACAATGGAAACCTCCTTTGCTCTCCATCTTAGGACTAAAAGCACAGTGAGACCGGTGTTTACATGTACTCATCTACTCTGTGTGTACATGTGTGGATGCGCACGTAACGGCACACAGGTGGAAGCCGGAGGCTAACTTGCCAGAGCCAGATCTCGTTTCCTAGCAAGTGGGATTCGGGGATCGAACTCAGGTTGTCAGGTCTGGCAACAAGCGTCTTTACCCACTCTAGCCGGCTCGTGTCGGGATTCTGGTTGGACATTTTTCATAAGATGCCTCGGGGTGCTCCGTATTGCATCGTATCAGGAGGCACATAATTCTGGATTGTTTCACCATTTACAATGCCAAATCTGATCCTGGCTCTGGGCATTGATTTTGCTCTAGGGATCTCTCTCTCTCTCATTATAAAAGTGCCTGTTCCATCTGACAATTAACAAGGAATCAAGAGGGGTTGACACTCTGGCGCTGTGCTGACATTCTAGTCCCAACTGCTTCCTTCTTTGCCTAAATCGATATTCCATCAGTGCTCGTATCTATTTTTAATATACTTTGAACATGCGTAAGACGTGAGCAGTTAACACTCGTGACAGAGGCTGTAGCTATGCTGCGTGCATAAATTCACACAGCAGTAATAATAATAAGTTACACTGGCCGAGTGCTTGCTGCAGAGCCAAACAGCCTAAACCTGAGCCAGGCTTCCATGTGCTGAGTGAACTGAGCAAAATTCAGTCTCTCTGTTTTGGTTTCTTGAGCTGTAATGAGGGTGCTAGTGGGGTTGTCTGAGGATTGGATAATTGAGACATGTTTCCAAACAGTGTGTCGTTGGTGCTGTTGCCGCTACTGCCCCGTGGCTGATCTGCTACCCCACCTCTCACATCGCTTGTGAACTCCACCTCAGGACCCCATGTGCCAGTCCAGCCCTTGACAGGCATGGAATCGCTTACCTCTCCCGTGGCGGTCAAGACAGCCTAGCAATAGCACATCTTCACATATAAGACAATGAAGGTGCAGAGAGGTCAAGTACCTCACAGAGGCCACTCGCAGCAGAGCCAGGGTTTGATCCCAAGCCGTCTGATTCCAGAGCATTCTCTGCGAAACATGGCATGTGAAAGAGGAATGATAGGACAGAATTAAATGGAAATCAGCCAAAAGGGCCGCCCGTACTCAGGGTTGAAGTTGAAAATCTAGTGTGGCTACCTAAGTACATTGCAGGTTTTGGGTTTTGTTTTTTTTTTAATAAGAATAGCATTCTAGGTGCTCGCTTCGGCAGCACATATACTAAAATTGGAACGATACAGAGAAGATTAGCATGGCCCCTGCGCAAGGATGACACGCAAATTCGTGAAGCGTTCCATATTTTTGCGGAAACTTTTTTTTCTTATTCTCAATAAAATAAAAAAAAGAGAAAAAATTAAAAAAAATAAAAAAAATAAAAGAATAGCATTCTAGGAAGCATAGATTTGTATACTTTCATAGCTTAGGAACTTCTTCAAGAAACTTGAGACCATGGTAGAGTTGGAGGTGAGGAAGGGAGAACTCAAAGGCAGGGGCAGGGATGGAAAAGACTAATACAGCAGAGGAGTTATGAAACCTTGGAGCCGCAGGGCAGAACATGATATTTTGATAGAGTCAGGAGGGGGGAGTCCTTCTCACTTTTCACATTGCTGTACTGTAAACGATTTTACCCCTGAAACACTGATGTAGAAGCCTTGTCCAATTCATAAAGGCCACACTGGGTTTCCTTGGAGGAAGATGGATGTTTGCTGTTGGTAGTAGTGCCGGCGGCTGGTTATCTCAGGCACTCAGACTTTGCCTAAGTCAGTCTGTGACTTCAGAAACAGGCAGTTTTATCCAGAAAAAGCTTCCCTGGCTAGGGAATGGTCCCAGTCCTTCATTAGCATATGAGCGGCTCCAGGGCTCTGTCGGTCTATCTGCCCCTTAATTGCTGTTACGGAATGCTCTCAAGTGTAATTTTCTAAAGAGAACTAAAAAAAGTGAGTAGACAGAATCCGGCATTATTAAAGCCTTTCTGCGTTCCTAGGACCATCATTGCTAAGCCGCTTCTGCATTTTCATATTTTTTAATGAAAAGCAGCCTAATTGATCAATTGGTCACAAAGAATACTTTTCCATTTGTTTTGGGCTTTGTAATCCCCACCCCCACCCCTCAGCCTTCCAGAACCACGGGTTTAATGTGTCAGCGTAGAAATGGTTTATGATTTGAGTCTTTTTGTCTAGTGCTTTATGGGAAAATCCTAGACACAACTGCTGAGAACTCTGTGGGAACTCAGTCAATAATGAGGAGATCGTTCTCTTCTTAAATCTGAATTTCAGGAAGAACCTCAATAACCAAGATATATTATCAGGGGAGAACACGGATGGGGGGAGAACCTGGTTGATTTGTAGCTGGAGACTTCTGCTCATCATTTATAGATTTAGTCCTCGGTAAAGGAGTAAAGTGTGAAGTCAACGTGAGGGAGATGGCTTGGTGGGTAAACTGCTTGAGAGAGAAGCATAGGCCCTGAGTTTGGATTCCCAGCATGCCTGGTTAGGGTGGCAAGGCAGGAAAATCCTTGGGGCTTGCTGGTCAGCCAGCTTACCAGAATCAAACTTCAGGTTCAGTGAGAGACCCCTGTCTCAAAATAAATAA